TCTTGTCCACCTTGTTGGTGTAGGTGTTGGAGAGCTTGCTTGTTTGCTTTTTCTCCTTCTTCTTTGCTCCTCCCCCATTCTTCACCTTGCACTCATAGGACTTGTGACCTTCCTTGTGGCACACATAACAAACCACGGTTTGTCCTTCATCAAGCTTCTTCACTCCCTTGATGATGTTATCTTGATGAAGTTGGGTTTGCTTCGCCTTGCCTTTTACTTGAGTCAAGTCCTTGGTGAGGCGAGCTACTTCTTGCTTGAGTTGCTCATTCTCCTTTGTAACCTCTTGTGTGCATGTATCTACAACAACTTTCTCAACACAAACTTGGTTGCACAAAGATGAGTTTAAACATAAATCATTACAAGAAGTAGAGGCATCCTTTTTAGACAAGTTAAAGATATAACTTTTCTTTTTAGATGCCTTGGTGGGGGTTGTGCTCACGGCTTCAAGATTAGCAACTTTATTAGTTAGCTCATCACAATGTTTGCACATGGTTTCTATTTTAGCAAGCAAACTATTATATGCTTCTTGTGAGCTAGCTAACTTTTCTTTTAATTTTTTATTTTTCTTTACAAGTTGCTCATCATTTATTGTGCATGCATTTGTTGTTGCACTAGCCTCAAGCTTCTCAATTTTAGTAGATAGTTCAACATTGAGATTAGCAAAGTTCTCATATTGTTCAAGCAAGGTTTTGTATGCTTTTTGTGAACTATCTAGCTTTTCTTTTAAATTGTTGAGCTTCTTTTGTTGACTAGTGATAACTTTAGCATATTTAAGATTTTCTTGCACAATTTCATTATAAGAAGGCATATCATTATCACTATCACTCTCACTGGAGGAAGAGCTTTCGTTACCTCGTGCCATAAGGCACACACGTGAAGAGCTTGATGATGAGTGCTTGTGGCCTTGCCTCTTATGATGGTGTTCTTCTTCATTTGAAGAATCATCCCATGATCTTATTGATGCGAGGGCTTGGTTCTTGCATGCCTTCTTCTTCTTTGTCTTGGGTGTGGGCTTGTTTGAGCAAACTTCCACAAAGTGCCCCAACTCGCCGTATCCATAGCATCCTCTCTTTCTTTGCTCTTTTCTTTGATTTGTGAAAATGAAATCTTGAATTTGGATGGGCACACCGTTGACATTGAGCCTTTGGATCATCTTCTCAACCTTGTTGATCACTTTGATTGATTCTTCATCAAGATCGAAGGTGGAGGAGGAAGATTGATCATCACTTGAATCTTCATCATCATCATCATCGTCCTCATCTTCTTCTTCATCTTCACTTGAGGAACTTGAGCTTGAGCTTGTCTCAACTTGCTTGCCCTTCATCTTCTTTTTCTCGCTACAAGCGAGAGCTTTGCCTTTGCTTGATGAAGAAGCTTCTTCTTGACCCATCTTACGTGACATTTCAAATGCCACTAACTTGCCAATTACTATGCCCGGGGTCATGTTGCTCAAATCCTCCATGTTGTGAAGGATGGTGATGATGCTTGCATATTTCTTTTGTGGTAGCATAGAGATGATCTTCCTCACGATGTCCGCATCATCTAGCTTTAATAATCCTATAGAATGGAGCTCATTGATAATTAGATTCAAACGAGAATACATATCACGAACAAGCTCATCATTATTCATAGTAAAGGAATCATAGTTTTGCTTTGCTAGACAATGTTTTTGCTCACGGACATTGCTTGTGCCGTCATGGAGCTCTTGAAGTTTGAACCAAATTTCATGTGTCGTATTTAAAGTGAATACTTGGTTAAAACATCCATACTAAGTGATTCAAACAAGCAATTTTTAGCTCTAGCATTGAAGTGCATTTCTTTTTCATCACTCTTTGTGGGTTTTTTGGGATTCTTGATGGGTTTCATCCCGTCACGAGTGACTCTCCATACACCCAAATCAATCGCCTCAAGGTGGCAAGCCATTCTAGCTTTATAGTATGGGAAGTTAGTGCCGTCAAAGTGCAGAGGCCTAGCGGTATCCATCCCAATCACTCTAAATAGCGTCGGCTCAACGGCGGTTAAACCAAAGGTCCAAATTGAGCCAACCGGCTCTGATACCAATTGAAGCGACCGTGACGCCTAAGAGGATGGTGAATTAGGCAACTTAAGACTTCAACTCTAAACTATGGCCTCTTTTGCTAACCTTAACAAAACCTATGCAAAAGATAAACTATCTAAATATGCAACTACGGTTTTGCTAATGTGTTGCTATCTCTACCGCAATAGAAGTAATGTAATCAATGTAAGTGCGGAAGCTAAAGAGCGAGGTAGAGATATGCAAACTCTCATCGACGACTCCGGTATTTTTACCGAGGTATCGAGAAGCGCGCAAGCTTCTCCCTAGTCCTCGTTGGAGCCCCTCAGAAGGAATCCCTCGTAAGGGCCAAGCTCCCGATCGGGTAACTCTATGGATAGCCTCGGGCCTTCCCCATGCCCAAGTGGGTCTCCGACGTGCCTTCCGGCAAGCCTCTCCCGGATGCTCCCCGCCGTCTTCAATATCAAGCTTCCGACCGAAATGTCGCGGGCCTTGTTCCCTCCGGTACACGGTGGCGGCCACACCACAAACACGGTTGGTGTGATCTCGCAAGACTTCAAGCCCCTTCGATGTACAACACTTGTGCTCGCAAGCACGGGGTGGCAAGAGGTATGCAAACCTCACTAAACACTAGGCATAAATCTAGAGCAAGCGCATAAGTGGTGGTCTAATCAACCTAAGCACTTCGCAAAGCACTTATGCTAATTACCTAATAAAACACTAAGCACTATGCATGTGGAGATCACTAAAATGGTGTATCAACACCCTTGGTATGCTTCCTCAGCTCCACTCACTTCAAATGGCCGGTTAGAGGTTGTATTTATAAGCCCCGCTGAGAAAGTAGCCGTTGGGGTCGAATTCCCGCGAAACTGCTACTGACCGGACGCTGAATCGTCCTGACCGGACGCGTCCGGTCGTCCCGACCGTTGAGCAGGCAATATACTAATCGGACGCTGGCCAGCGTCCGGTCGCCTGCCACCGGACGCGTCCGGTCGCAGATTTGTCGCTCAGGAACCTTACTGTAATCGATCGGACGCTGCTGTCCTGCGTCCGGTCGGTTTCCGCCAGCGTCCGGTCTGGGATTCGGTCGCCTGTCTGCCGAGCCACTTGCCCAGCGTCCGGTCGCAGCGTCCGGTCCTGCATTCGGTCACCACAGTTAGCTCATTTCTTCGCGATCTTGTGTACGGCTTGGTTTCAATCTTCGTGCTTGGATTTTGCTTGATATTTTTGGTCTTCTCTTGTGCTTCTAAGGTCTTTCTTAAAGTGTTGATCATCGGATCACCACGTCGCTTTCGTCCAAGTCACGTCTTCCTCCCTATTGAACTACAAAATAAACACTTGCAAATTCATTAGTCCAATTTAGTTGTGTTGATCATCAAACACCAAAATCCAAAGTAAATGTGCCAATGGTCCATTTTCCTTACAATCATCTTTATATTATGTCACAGAAAGAAACATATAACAATTGCTCGTGTTTTTAGCATCAAATTTCTTAGTATTTCTTTTAGTAGAACGCTAGTGGGGAGGATAACCTACTTATATTAAATGGAATGAACTCTTCACATTAGTGGCATTTGTGCAACTCTATGAACAATCACTTTATTAAAAGGACCCTTACTAAATTGCAAAGCCTCTAACTTATTTACTATGGAAGCTCAAGTTACCTCTAAGAGTCAAGATGTTTGTTTGGTTCTTAATAAAGGGGTGATTTTTACAAATGATAATCTTCTAAACGAAATTGGTGGGGCCATGAAAACTGTAGTAAACCATCCATCATTTCTTCTTTGAGTTTCTTGTAGTACAATTTATTTGGAGGATTGTTCACATAGCATTTGGCTTACAACCACCAATACATATGACTATTTTTTTCCAAACATAGTTACAACAAGTAGACCGAAAACCATAATCTCAAATTTAAGTGGGAGCAAGCGCAACCTTTTAGTCTATATGGTTTGTCAGAAATGATGTATTTTTTAGTAAAACCATTACACTCTTATTCACAAATTATTTTCAGGACGATATGCTAGACGCGATCTAGTCCACACATGAAAAGGGGTCCATTAGTCCAACCAACCAAATTTGAAGAGACATGCTGAGTGATGGAGACCGTAGCTAATGGAGATTTTCATCAAGAATATGTGGCTGAGTTCAGTGTGCTACTAGTCATACGGTCTCACACTTTTGTTGCTTTTAAAGAACTTTTCTTTATCAGCCGGACACTGAAACTCTATCATAATACATTGTTCACTGCAAAAATCTTATAGAAACTGGAATAAAATCCTTATATTTTTCTAAAAAAATGAGCAGAAGAACAGTTCGCTAGATATGCATTATCTTTAACAGCTGCTGCTGGTTTGTGCGGTTTCTGCGAGATTGCTCTGGAGGCTGGAGCTCGGCACAAATGGCATGAACAGAGTAATCCGGGACACGCCATCAGTGTGGGTCTGTCATCTGTGGGAGACGCGGGTGCGCCGCATGAGCCTGGACCTGGACTGGAATACAGAGGCCAGATGAGGAGCTACGCAGAGACCAGACCAGAGCACTTGGGTATTTTTTTGTCAAAAAATGTTTGTTGCGAACCAAGCTGATGAGTATCTCCCCAAGAGCCTCGACGTCGTCCTCCAACGGAATACCTACCTCAAAAGAGCTAAACTTACTGCACCGTCTCTTTTAGAAACCTACGCATCTGCATTACTCCTTGAAGGTCTAAAGACTAAATATTTAGTATTTGGAAAATAAAAACTGAACTAATGAGCAAGGACTCTGCACCGGCCACAAAAATTCAACGCTTCCCACGCTTCGAAACTTCAACCACTACCGTTTGAAACCTCCTGATGATCTCGCGCCCTATAAATACCATACCATGCTGAGCCAATAGCACCAGCATCACACACAGTTACCAACAAGCAGGATCAGCTAGCTAGCTCCTCTCACTGGTGTCACCCAGCCATTGTCACCAGTAGCCATGAAGACTAGATCGGGAATTGCAGTCCTGGTGGTGGCGATGCTGGCGGTCCAGGCCGCGGCCGACATCTCGTGCCCCGACGTGCTCAACGACCTGTCGCCGTGCCTGCCCTTCCTGCAGGGCAACGCACCCCTGCCCAGCGACCAGTGCTGCGGCGGCGTGAGGGCCCTCTACGCGGCCGCGGACACCAGGCCCGCGAGGCAGGGCACGTGCCGGTGCCTCAAGGCGGCCTACCTTCAGGTCCACGCCCAACTGCCCGCGGCGCAGGCGCTGCCCGGCGACTGCGGCGTCCCGATCTCCTACAAGATCACCCCCGACATCGACTGCGACAAGTGAGTACTCCTACACAACTGCACAGACGATCGACCGGCACGTACGTACACCATGCATCCGTGCGTGGCTTGCACCGGGCACATGTTTCGAGGGCCGGAAACATTCGTTCAAACTTTTTTGAGAGAGGAATGAATAGCTAATCAGTACAACAGATTACAGTATATTGACATGCATGTAACGCTATACTAATAGTTAGGGTACGTACTCCGCATGAGAAATCCAAATAGGTAGGGTACGTACTCCATCTAAAAAATTGGATGTTTTACTATATTTATATAGGACAGATTAGTGCTAGGTTGAAATTATTCATGCATCTCTATTTATCGAATAATTAAAGAATAAACCGCTAAATAAAAGTAATGTACAAAGACATGCATATATACCGCAGTCTTAAGGTGCCCAACCTAGTTTCAAAAGCTAAAATCAAGTTTTTGTGACAACTCTTTGAATCCTAGTAAATCAAGTTTCGTAGGACGGATGGAGTAGCCTTTTGGAGTAACTTACAAATTTGATCGTCACCTATTTGTCCTGATTGTATTGGCAGGATTGAATGAAGGGATCCTGTTCCCTTATCAGAATCCATACGACGGATGGTGGTGATCAGTGCCCTACTAGTATACTGCAGCTGCACTGAGTTACTAGAATAAAAGGATTTGGTGATGCTGTACTGTTTAGTACTGTTTGCCTGTAATCGTGTGATGCCGTCGTTGGCTTGTTCTATCTGTGTTAATCTCGTCAGTACTCGTGTTTGCAACTAATCAACTATATATACATACTGCTGTGATCCATTTATAATGTCAACTCAATGTCGCATGTATTCACGCTTATCGTATTGCGGTAGCTCTTTCTCGCTGAACACCGATCCTAGTCGCGCGACCACACTTTTAGCTGCTTAATTCACTTTTACAACAATTGCATCCAGATAATTAAGAAGTAATCGTACCGTGGGCCTGTGGCCGTACTTCTCTAGCTGTCTTAACAAGAACAATCAATTTTTTTTTTCGAATAACAAGTACAATCAATTTAGGGCTTGTTTGGATCACATCCTATAAACTTTAGAGCTCTAAAAATTTTAGAGTACTTTAACTCACTTTTGAGGTTTAAAGCTCTAATATGAGTTGGGCTAAAGTTTAGAGCTAATTTTAGACCAACTATTTAGAGTTTTAGCTCCAAATTAAAGTTTAAAGGTCTAAAGTTTAGAGGTGTGGATCCAAACAGACCCTTAGTTATATTGTGACGTAAAACATGGCTACAAACTAGAACACTACATCATGCGGATAGCAGATCGATCAACCTTCGGCAGGCTCCTGCAGAACAGACAACTATATGTGTCGTTTTAGCTTTCTACCGAGTACAACAAAGATTCTCTTAACCTGAATATAGGGTGTATCTAGATGCATGCAGCATCCTGTGAACTTAGACATTCAAATAAACTGCCAGAATGACAGATATAGTGGGACAAAGGGAGTACCTTGGAGACCACTTACAAATGCAAACTTATTCTCTTTTGACTCAATTATAAGATAGTCTTTCAAAACAAATCTCCTAATTGAAAAGACTTAAACTTGGCCTTATTATAAGTACACTCTAGCCACATATGCCTTATATTTTAATATCTCCTTTCAAGCGTCCGGAATTACCTCAACATGTAAAATAGTATCTTGTCCATATACAAGCTCAAAAAAGAGTAACTTTCATAGCACCATGTCTAGTTACATGAGCCCATAAAGCCTCAGACAAAACTTTATGCAAATGCTTAAGATTGTACTCCATGTATTCTTTATAAATTTGATTAAAATCTTATTGCTTGACTCGGCGTGACCATTGGCCCGAGGATAATATGGAGCTGAATTGATCAACTTAATCTTATAAGATTCGACAAACACATGTACCTCTTTAGATATGAATGATGTCCCCTAATCTGTAGTCAAAGTCTAAGTAGTTTTAAACTGACCGTATGCTTAGTAATGAATTCAATTAGTTCACGCCTTCTCAAAAGTCACTTCATCTTTCAAGTTGATTGATGTGTTCCACAAATACCTTCACGAACCTCACCCTTTGCCAGTTGAGTCTTAAATTTAACCAAACATTTGAGCAATACACCTTCATTAGTTCGTCGATACAAAATATCGTCAATCAAAGCAAATTTGAAAGCTGAACGCCGAATGTTCCACTCAACCCTATTACTAGGATTTTGTAAGTAATTAGCAATAGGTTGCCTCCAATCATTACTATTGACCTCGCTAACAATTTTAGAACTCATGACCAAAACACCATTTCTTTTGTTAAAACTGGACCATTCGGCATCATCAACTGGACCATCTGGTGTGGATAGTGACTCAGCAATAGCAATGCCCTAATGAAACCGGACTGTCTCGTTTGTCGATACTATACATCAACACTTTCAAGCATAGGTTGTTCAACAACTACAAAATGCCCTTCACAAATAACATAACCAAATGCTTGTTGTGCTAAACTATTGGCTCTAACATTCTTATGCCTAGTTATATTATGTATAGAAAATTCGTGAAAATAAGATATGACCTTTAGGCTTTTATCTAAATGGGCATTCAATGACCCATTAAAACATTTAAACACTTTGCCATGCTGTTGCACCACAAGTAACGAGTCACTGGAAGCTTCAACTTGTTTCACACCCATGTATTGCCAAAATTTCAGTCAGAATAAGAGAGCTTCATACACTCTCGACAAGATTTGTTGGTGTTCTAGGTCGCTTTGCCATTCTTACAACACCCTTGCATCTCAAGCTGCGTTCGTGGGTGTTTCATAGGCAAAGAACGAGTGTGTAGACCGCATTGTTGACTTGTTGGTCGGCCTTGCTGTTTGGTCATTCCTCCATTGCATGTCTTGGTCGTGTGCGGCCTTCGGTGACCTAGCCCTTGGTAGTATCTGATCGGATGGTGATTCTATCGGGTTTCCATCTTGAAAAACTAATAGGGCTCTTATTGGGCATGTTCATGTGCATGATAGTTTTAGCTAGCTTTCGAATTCTTTTTGCTTGCCCAAAAACAAGGTTTTCTTTTGGCTGCTCCTCAATGGCATATTAAGTACGAGGAATATTCGAAAAAGGAAGAATATGTACTTGGATATTACAATTGTGTTCTCTACCACAATGTAGTGCAAGAAACTCTTGATCACCTCTTCTTGAATTATGCCTTCACCAGGAATTGTTGGAGTCTTCTCAACTTTCACTTCCATTCAGATTAGAGTGTCTTAAAAGACATGGAGCTCTTCAAAGATCAGCTTGGTTCTCCTTTCTTCATGAATGCAGTAATTTTGATGTGCTGGACCATCTGTACATCTGTATCACTAGAAATGACTTGATCTTCAAATGATGCCTCCAAGCATGGAGATTTGCAAGGCGTCCTTTCTTAGAGAGCTATACCTTTTAGTTTAATGGGATGAGAAGCTTGCCTTTTCCTTTGAATTATGGACCCATTCTCTTTTGTAACTAGAAGACATCTCGTGCATTGCTGCAGGACTTTTTTTTAGAAATAAATCGATTGCATGTATGAGTTAAACCTACATCTTCTTACATTCAGTCTTATTAAAATTGGGAAAGGTTATGAAAGCCAATAAAAAACTAACAGAATTAGATCTAAATATAAGATGATGGAACGACAAAACAATTAGCAATATATGGATTCCTTCTATATTTCATATATACTAAAAGTAGTAATTGCGCTTATTGAAGATGAGTGAATGGCTTGCACTAAGAGGTTGAAAGTTAGTGGGATGACAAAACTATTAGTGGTAGATGATGTGGATAGTGAAAGATGATGTTGACGACTTGCATGTTGAGATATAATTTGTAGTGGAGATTAGCTTTATAAGAGATATTCTATGTTTCATATATACTAAAATTAGTAATTGCGCTTACTGGAGATGAGTGGATAGCTTGCATTAAGAAGTTGAAAGTTAGTGAGATGACACAACTATTGATGGTAGATGATGTGGATAGTCAGTGAAAGATGATGTGGATTGCTATCATGTTGAGATATAACTTGTAGTGGGAATTGGCTTTATAAGAGTTATTCTATATTTCATATATACTAAAAGTAGTAATTGCACTTACTAGAGATGAGTGGATAGCTTGCATTAAAAAGTTGAAATTGAGATGACGCAACTATTGGTAGTAGAGATTATGTGGATAGTCAGAAAAAGATGATGTGGGTCGCTAGCATGCTGAGATATAACTTGTAGTGGAGATTAGCTTTATAAGAGATTTAAACATAGATATATAAATATAAATTTGTCTTTTGCTTTCCTAGCTTATTTTCTGTTTCTTAAATTTATTTGTAGCATTCACTTATTTTTCTTAACATTTCCAATAAAAGCTAAGCAATAGGGGCTACGGCCCCTCCTGATTACTCAAGAAATGCATGCCTCAATTCTTAATTCTCAAGGCGAGCCACTAAACTAATAAAAAGGACGCGCCTGAAACCCAGAATCAATGTAAGCATGTGATCTTTGACTCACCAAAGGCAAGTAACCATAAAATATTTCACTATGTTTTATGAGTTTAAGTAAACAAAGCAGAGAAGTATGAAAAGTTATGACAGGTTGTAGCCCATCTTTTATTTCAATGTAAGCATGTGATCTTTGACTAAAAAAATGCAAGTGTAACCATAAAATATTTCACTATGTTTTTTTAAGTTCAAGTTAATAGTCAGCTGAAAAACAAAGCAGAGAAGAATGAAAAGTTATGACAGATTGTAGCCCATCTTTTATTTTCTTTTGCAAAGTTGGGCTGTTATATTATGTTGAAGGGTAGACAAATAAAACATTATAGGCGACTTAACATTTTCTTTTGTTTTTAGCAAAATTGGCACAGTATACTTTTTTTTGTTTGGTTTCGACGCATTGATTGAAAGAGCTTTACATATGAACAGTTGATATGATTGGTTATGATTCTCCTTTCTGCGGTTCTGCCAGTCTCCATCAGCTACTCGTACATTACATGAGCTAATGTCGGTACTTTTCAGCTATTCAACGATGTTTTTCTCTTCCAATAAATCTAAATTTCAGCACAACAACATTAAATAATTGATGACATGAATCACGAGGTTTCAGCCCAAAGAACAAATTGAATAAAGGAAATATCAACTTTTGCACGGACCTTTTTTTTTTTTTGAGCTGCTTCAGCAATCAGCAAACAGATGAGCTAATCTGAACGAGGGATCCAACAGATGAGCTAATCTGAACGAGGGATCCAATCAACTAGACCGATTGAACAAACCTGACTCAAGTCTATCCTACAAATTCAGACTGTCATGGCATACAATAAAAATGAAACCTTTTGCTCAATTAACCATGAAATTAACATCCTCTGTTTCACACCGGCATTATCTTCCTCTGCTCCACGCTGTCGGTGGAAGCGTCTGCCACCGTTGTCGTCTGACCTTCAGAGTGCACCATGTCATAGGTGGCGTGCACGCCGAAGAGCACGTAGTAGACAAGCATCGCCGCCGTGCAGATGCCGAAGCGCAAGTAGGCCAGGGAGCCGAGAGAGCCCATCAGGAAGAGGTTTGTGGCGACGGACATTGCCGGCAGCCATGGCATGAGCGGCGCGCCGTACACCTTGGGCACGCGCTGATGCTTCGCGAACAGCGCCAGCCCCGCCGTGCCGGCCGCCCACAGGGCTCCGAACACCACGTACCCGGGCCACCGAGCAGCGTAGCCCGAGTTGTAGTACACGGACAGGCCGGTGGACGACAGGACGATCAGCGCCAGGAAGGCGAGGAAGGTGCGGGCCTGCGCGGGTGACGTGGTGCCCGCGACGTAGTAGCGGCGGACGAGGAGCGCAACGGCGACGAGCGCGAAGATGAAGAGCGTGCTGATGGAGGAGACGGACGCGAGCACGTCGAGGCTGGAGAAGAGCGCGACGCAGGCGGCGCCGAGCGTGACGGCAATGGTGGCGTAGATGGGCGTACCGGTCCTGGGGTGCACGAGCGCGAAGTAGGGCGGGATCATGTGCGTGCGCGCGATCTGCGTGGTGTAGCGCGCCTGGCCGAGCGCGCCGACGAGGAGGCCGCTCGTCATGCCCTTGAGCGCGCCGAGCGCCACGATGTAGCGCGCCCACTTCATCCCGGCCGCGGCGAACGCAACCGAGTAGGCCGCGTTGGCGTCAATGTCGCTGTACCGCTGCATCCCCACGAGCGCCAGGGACATGGCGCAGTAGACGAGTGTGATGGCCGACATGGACGAGATGAGGCCCAGCGGCACGTCGTGGCCGGGGTTCTTGGTCTCCTCGGCCATGGTGGCCACCATGTCGAACCCCGTGTAGGACCAGTACACAACGGCCGCGGCGCGGAAGACGCCCGCGGCGCCGAAGGGGAAGAAGGACGGCGCGAGGTTGGTGGGCTCGAAGTGCGAGAAGCCCGCGGCCAGCACGAACGCGATGATGGCAATGCCGACCACGGACGCGATCGAGTTGACGGTGGAGGTGAGGCGCGCGCCGGACACGGCGAGCGCGGAGGTGGCGCACAGGACGACGACGGCGATCGGGTCCAGCAGATTGAATCCGTCGGCGAGCGCGGGCACGTGGATGCGGAGCGCGTCGCTGTCGCGGCCGATGAGCGCCGCGAGGTACGACGTCCAGGACCGGCCCAGGCCGGCGGCGCCCACCACGGCCTCGAGCAGGATGTTCCCCGCGGCGATGAACGCGGCCAGGTCCCCAAGCTCGACGCGCAGGTACGAGAAGGAGCCGCCGGCCGACGGGATCTCGGTGGCGAGCTCGGCGTAGCAGAAGGACGAGAGCAGCGCCGAGAAGCCAGCGGCGGCGTAGGCCAGCGGGATGGCCGGGCCGGCGTCGAAGCGCGCCTCCTGGCCGGTGAGCACGAAGACGCCCGAGCCGACGACGGAGCCGAATCCGAGGAAGGCGAGATCCACCCACGACAGGCACCGCCGGAGGGGGTTCTCGCTCTGGGCGAGCAGCGTCCCCGCCTCGACGGCCTCGGATGAGCGGCTGGTGACGCGGTCCCGCAGTCGCGGCCCAGTGGACAGTAGCGCGCCGCCGTACGCGCGCCAGCTCTGGAACGAGGGTTCCGGGAAAAAGTCGGCCTTGCTCCAGCGCCAGTACCGGCGGCCCGCCGCCGGCTCGCCCCGCACCGCCGCCGATGTCATCACGGATGTGCGGACGGACGAGGGGAAGAGAGATTGATTTCGTGTTAGGTACTAAACCCCCGATAAGCCATCGCCGATCCGCTCTGCTGGGACAAAGAAGGTTGCTTTGTTTGGATTCTGCGAAGGTTATGATGAGATGAGTTGAGCGAAGGCGCGTGGATATGGCGACTGTGGAGGCTGTTGAGCCGTATTTATCTGCAACAAAACTAAAAAAAAAAAGGGTGGGCGGCGCGCGTGCGATCGTGGGGCGATGTATAGTGCCGGAAACAGATCCCGAATCGTTCAGGCAGAAACGGGGAAAGTTCGGCGTACGGCGATGTATAGTGCCGGAAACAGGGGACGCGAACGTGATGGCCCGCGCGTCCACATCGGCCTCGACTCCGTTGGAACCTCCGTTAGCTCGTGGGCCGGGGTTGGTGACTTCTGTTCAAAGTGTGTGGTGGTGCGTGGCTGTTTCACCGACACCGAGTTCATTTCTGTTCAACGTGCGATGCTTACTGCACATGCAAAAAAAACAACAACATTTCTTCCAAACAAATATATCCCATGAATGTTGGACAAAAGAGCAAAACTATACTTTCTGCCAGAACAATTATTCGACTACTCTGAAAATTTATAGTAATCAATTTCCCATTCCCCTTTTATTGACGGGAGATGCTATTTATCAGATTTCAGATGTGATTTCTTTTCCGAGCAATGTCTATAAGCCCTCCGATCTAAATTGGACCGTTATCGAACAAAGTATTGTTGAGTTTTCATGGACCTTTCATTTGATGACTTTCTTTTCTCGGTTATGCTCTTCTCAGGGTGTTCATCCGTTGAGACGTGCCCTTCCTAGGTTTGCGGAGCTCAATACGTCTGCTCCCCTCACGACTTCTCCATAAAAAAAACTGGAAAGCAATTCTCCATTTCTCCTCTCTTGCCGCGACCTTCTTCACTGCGTCTTTCGACCATCGCGGTCGACTCCACCGTGCCGCTCGTCCACCGCTCATCTTCTCCAGCGCGAGGAATGCTCGCCGCGGGACAGCGCAGCTGCTCGATGCTGTCGCCTCCACCGTGGGGACCGCACCCGCCCGCCCTATCGCTAGGAACCGCGCAGTCGCCCACTTGCTGGCATCCCCCCTCTCGCGCGCCACTCCACGGCATCGAGCTCCGCATCAACGAGCCTGCATTCGTCCAAGCAGCATGTAGATGTTGCGCTTAAAAGTGCATGTTGCAAGCGTATGTTTTAAGTGTTTCAGAGGTATGTTGCAACTGTTTCATATGAATGTTCCAAAAGGAGATCGGGATGTTGCATATGTTGTAATAGTTGTACACATATGTTGCAACAGTTTGTTCCTAATGTTTTATCTATTTTTCAGACGTATGTTGTAAGTGTGTTTATCTGTATGTTGCATATGTTTCAGACGTATGTTACAAATGTTATATCTGGATGTTGCATATGTTTTGCAATGCCTTTTCAAGTGTTTTCCGGTGTTTTTGTAAGTATTTTCAGACGTATATTGCAAGTGTTTCAGCTGTGTCTGACATATGTTGCAAGTGTTTTATCTGGATGTTGCAAAAGTATATCTAGGGTTGCTGCTGGGGACCCACCTGCCGCAGTCGTCTACTGCAGTTGCTGGGGCACAGCTGAGCTGGCGCAGACGTCTAGCGGGGAAGCGGAGGAGGTGCGAGCGGTCCTGCGTGCGGTCGAGCGGCGCGGGCGACGTTTGGGCTACATAGGCCCCCATGTGGTCGCGCGAAACGGAGTGTAGACACGGGCGTCCGGCGCGCTAGCACTGCCATTCGTTTCCTCACATGGTGCCCCACTCGCCTGCTCGCCTAGTTGCCCTCCTATAGCCATCTCTGACGGCGCCCTCGTAAGATATAAACCCATTCATCGCTTATTAACGTTTCCATTTTTCGAGCTCCCCACCACTGGAATGGGGTATGTCTGCCAACCCATGCCTGTTGCTTCATCCCTTCATTGGTAGTATTGCACAAAAGAATTGTAAGTGATTTGTTGTGGGCCTGATTGGTTGATGGCTAAAATTTGGTCGCCAAAATTTAGACAAGTCAAGATTTTGGTAGCTATTTAGTTTGGTATCAAAATTTGTCAATATCTAACAAATGGTATGCCAATCTATGACTAATATCCAGTGGCAGAGCCAGGAATTGGCGGCTGGGTATGCCAAATGCATAAAATTTCGAAGCAAATAAGCAATACAATGGACCATAATTTATAATGGTCATAACATTTAGCAAATCCATAATAATAACCAAAGTAGAAGTTCGAAACATAAATATTAAGAAATATTACAAAACAGTAACGATTACTATAATATAACTCTACGATCCCCTTGTTGGAAGAGATTGATGATATCCTCATCTTTCACTTGACTGAAGAATTCCTTCTCATTAAATGTAACCAAGCAATTATTCAAATATTCATCACCCATTTTATTCATTTGCTTGTTCTTCACATAATTCATTGTGGAAAACACTCTTTCAACACTATCAGTGGCTACGGGAAGAATTAGCACCAACTTAAGAAGCTTGTAAACAACATAATATTGTTCATCTTTTTGTGTGTCCACAAGCTTAACTGAAATCTCACATAGGTTCTTCAAATTTTTAAACCTTTCGTCTCTACGAACATGAGAAATGTACATATTAAGCTGCCATGGAAGTTTCCCTAATTCCTCAGTTGTGAAATCCTTAGGATAAAACTTTGTAGCAAGTGTAACCAACTTGGCTTGATTATAAGCAGCAAATGAATCAAGTGGGCTAAATGCTGCCATGCAAGAAAGTAGTTCTGTGTTTACCTCATCAAATCTGTCATTCAGTTCTCGAAGTTGCCTATCAATGACGCTCACAAATATGTCAACATGGAAGCGATGATAGTTCATTGCGCCATTATAGAACCCTTTTTTAGTCTCCCAACATGATAATAAGGACCCTCCATGTCAATAACTTTAATCTTGTATTTCACATAAAAAGAAGTGACCCTCTGAAGAAAATCATTCCATCCTTCCTCTCCCCGCAAGCACTGCAAATGAAACTTTGTAAGATCAACAAGAACCATGGCATTCACAATATCTTGATCTTTCTTTTGCAAAGCCCTACTCAAGTCCTCTGTATAACCAAATATTTCTTGCATCAAGTGTGCCATGAATACAAACTGCAGATTGTTCTCAGTCTGAACAAGAGGAGGATTTGGTGTAGATGTGGGTTCTGTTTTTTTTGCCTTGGCAGCTTTCTCCCATAATGCAAATATGCTGCTACTACCCTTCTTCTTCATCTTGACTACAATTTACAAAGAACTGAATGTTAGAAAATTACTAAACAAAGTAGCACTCAGCATAGCACTAGCAAGAACAAATAAATTAGAGGAGAAAATGAAATCTTTACCTAGCTGCCTGTTGCAATTGTGGTGACGAACTGACGTCTGACGATGCGCTGCTGCTTGCTGCTGCTTGTCGCTGCCTCACCGCCTCACTGGTCACCGGCCGCCCGCGGCGCAGAGGAAGCGGATCGAGATGTGCCGCGCGGCCGCCCGCTGCAATTGTGGTGACGCTGTGCTGCTGCCTGTTGCTACTGGTCACCGCCTCACCGGCCGCCCGCAGAGGCGCAGAGGAAGCAGATCGAGATGTGTGGATGTGCCGCCGGCCGCCCGCTGCCGCAGCAGTCAGCAGATCGAGAATTCAAGATGCGCCGCCGCCGCTTGGGACAAGAGTTGTTGCGAAGAACGGGACTACAGGAGTCGCAACTTGTGAACGGGATGCCGACGGGACTATGGGAGGGATTCTGGCCGCTTGGGCTTTGGCCAAATTGGCCTGCTCGCTGCTACTTTGTTTGTGGGCTTTCGGTCCATTAGAAAATAGAATATATATATATATGTATTTATTTTTTTTACCAAAATCTTGGGTATTCCAAAGAATACCCAGGCATACCCTTAACGCCGCCAGTGCTAATATCCCCTTACCTTTATGTCATGATGTGTTTCAACAAAGAAAGCAAGCAGAGGTTTGCTCCGGTGAGCCCTCCCAATAAAAATTACACGCATCTTAAACCAACTTAATTAATATTAATTGTGTTTTCATAATAATTAATTTATTCACGGGTATGATATGGTCCCAGCCCTGTCCATACCAATGCTGAGCCCAACCCATGTCTAGGCAACGGAGCTGAAACCTGCAAGCGCTGTTGTCGCGTGGACAGAGTGGGCGAGCAGTGCCAGGTAGCAGGGCGCGACACGAACATGCAAACATATACTCCCGGTAGGCGGCAGGCACGGCGTGTTGGCATACGGCTAGGCGGCACCGGACCGTAGCAGGGCGCGAGCGCGCCGCGCGCAGCGGCTGGCCGGGTTCAGTGCCGCGACGCCGTGACATGCTGCTTGGCGTTGCTAGCCTGCTTCGTCGTCTGCAATTGCCGCCGCACCTGCCGCTTGCACCGTCGTGCATGCCCGGTTGTGTCTCCATCTGGTTTGACGAAATGGCGCTACCGCCATCGCTCAGCACGTGCGAAAGAATAGGCGAAACGACAGCAGATGGGGTCTATATTTTGGTGTATATGGGCCGTACTCAACGTGGGCACGGTACCGGACGCCCCTGTTGATGGGCTGCGATGCCCAGAAGGCTCTAGTATCCGCTCCTATCTGCTCCTTCGCAGTCACCGCACAAAAAAGACTCACCCAGTGCTGCAGCCATGCTATGCGACCGCGCTCCGTCGCGCCTCCCGCCCATCTTCTCCACCACGCCTCCTGCCCACCTCCTTCTCACCACGCCTCCCACCCGCCTTCTTTATTGGAGCGATCCGCCGCGTCCTTCTCCACCGGAGCAATGAGCTCCATGCCACTGACGAGTTCTACACCGGTGAACACCACACGTCGACGAGCCTCCATTCTCTCAAGCAGTAAGGAGATGTTGCACTGAAACGCATATTGCAAACGTATGTTCCAAGTATTTCAGGTGTTCCAGATGTATGTTGCAAGTGTTTCATTTGGATGTTACAAAAAT